TAGATTTTATCAAGTGTTTTATTCATTTCTTGTAACTGCCTAATATGCATAATTCAGCGACTTGTACTATGTACAAGTTGCTGCAATGTATTTTAGTGTATTGCTTTCAATTGAAACAATAAACCAATCGAGTAACTGAAGTCTTCTTTATAGGAAGAAGGGAGTAGGGCGGTGTGTGTGATAGAACTTGTTTTCAGTGTTTGTCTATCTGTTGGTTTGAAGTTCTGCTGCATCACCAAAGCAAATCGCTAGGAGGCCCATGACCCACATGCCAAATATCATCAAAATCCTCCAGCAGCTTATAGGTTATTGTTAGGCCACACCAAGTAAATTTTATGGATGACGTCCACGTACGCGCGCATTGATTTTGGCCTGTTCCAAGAAAAAAAAACAAGAAATTCCGCTTCCTGTAACTATGACCAAAGAGTCACGACAGTGCCGCAATTTTATTCTTTATTCTTTGCAGGCCTGCAAAAATGTGATGAAAGAAACAGGACAGGACGACAACTGCTGTTCCACCTGATTTATTGCTGTTTTGATGATGAATAAAAGACTTCTTGCTTGTTAATCTGTGTCACCTCATTCAATTTGTGTCCTAACATTTGTCGTCTCTTAGTATATTTCTAATCTAGGCATCTTGTTTTTAGGGCCTTTTTTTCGCCCTCTCGCATTAGATATAGGGTCTCCAAAGGACGTCATCCATAAAATCTACTTGGTGTGGCCTTATAGGAAGAAGGGAGTAGGGCGGTGTGTGTGATAGAACCTGTTTTCAGTGTTTGTCTATCTGTTGGTTTGAAGTTCTGCTGCATCACCAAAGCAAATCGCTAGGAGGCCCATGACCCACATGCCAATATATCATCACAATCTATCAGCAGCTTAGGCCACACCAATTTAATTCTTGGTTAACTGATTCGCCCGCTTCATTTTTTTCTGATTTGCAAAAGAAAAATTCAGAATCAACTGCAAAATGCTCATATTTTGCCCTGAACAATTGAAAATAGTCATTTTCTTCCTACTTGTTATAGTTATTCCATCTTTCAATACAGTGGTATCATTAAAAGTTCAAAACTTCATTGTTTAAATTTTGAACCAGCCTGGTGTGTTGACTTCATGGCTCCTGTCGTACCATTTTGGGCCATAATAGGATGCCTAGGCCTGTTTTTATTTTTTTTCGCCCGCCCGCATTGTTTTTCTACAAAAATCCGTTAACCAAGAAATTAAATTGCTGTGGCCTTATAAGTTATTGTTGGCCAGAATATCCAGAAGCTCAAGCAGACAGCAAAACAATACCTCCATTTTCACGGAGGTAATTAGTCGACTTATCGACGTTTTATGTTCCTGCAACCTCATACATGAATAGAATCATCCATCAAAGATATCATATGAATTTTCTAAAGCACGTATTTTTATTGTTTTGTGTATTGTTTATTGACAGTTTGCACATAAAAAAGTAACAGTATAAAATGAAATTATATACAAGCAAATATATGCTGGAGAGCCCAAGAAACCTGAAGGTTTGTCTAGTGGACTCTCCCAAATCCTATTAATTTTACGATCTCTTATTTACATACATTTATTACATTTACATTTAACTTGCAATGTATTAAGGGACAAGCAAACAAATTAACTCAAAATAGGTACAAGATAATATAAAGTTAACACGGCGAATTAAATATCTAAACAATAAAGTAAGACAATCAAGAACATATCATATTGAACAAAAAAAAATTTCCATTAGTCAAATCATAAGTTGTTATGAGTAAGAACAACATAAGAAACCAATATTAACACAAAGAAAATATCATAGCATAAGAAAACAAAGAAAACAAAAGCAAATCAGGAAGTGGTAGTTGGCTTCTCTATCAGGTCAGTTTTTAAATGTCTTTTGAACACAAAGTCAGCCTTGTAAGTTGTATGGACAACCTTCAGAATCTGTTGCAATTCCTATACTAACCGCACGATAGCGCGCTTGACCTGCATGAACGTTGGTAATCTGAGTAGAGATTTACAAAAACTTTCATTTGCTTGCGATATACGTCTTCTCCTTTTGACCAGTCTGTCTTCGTGTACATTAACACTGCATGGTACATAATATCACTCAGGCCATGTTGATTTGATTATATGGATGACATCCTCCGGGAGCCCCAAAACTGATGCGCGCGTGCGAATAAAAAAAAAGTTTTGCAAAAAAAAAAGTTCTTTTCATTATGAAATCTTGGTCATGAAATCGTGGTCATGAGGGTTGAGCAAATGGCACAGAATATGGTTTGGCAAATAATCTAGTCTTCAAGTTCATTTCTTTACAATTTCGTCTTTTTTCGTTTGATTTTGGCATTCTACGACATTGGCATAGTTTTTATTAATTTTTTTGGTAACTTAGTGTATATTTTTGCTCATTTTGCAACTGTTTTGTACGATTTACAGTATGGTTGAAAACTTTTTTTTTTTGGAAACGGCCGAAAATTCATGCGCGCGTGGATGTCATCCATATAATCAAATCAACATGGCCTCATGGAAAAAGAATTTCAATATATCTTACCAGAACATGAGGGACGTTTTAGTAGAATTAATCTTATAAATTGGATGCTATATCAAGCTTAGAGACTTTCCTATTTCTTGCTATATGAGGTCACATATATAAGCATGTATGTTGCTTTGTGTAAGTTAGCCAGGGAAAATCCCTGTACGGAATAAGCAAGAAAGTATAGTACTGGTAATGTATAAAACGCCAAATTCACAAAAGTCTTTAAAAATATTTCATTGAGGTGTAAGATATTCTTTCAAGACTTGTTTGTGACCCTTTCCTAGCCCGATATAGATAGGACATGTAGGACAAATCATATATAATAAATGTCTTCATTCTCCTTTCATTGAAAAGAGCAAAGGTTCAGTAGAAGCTAGTACATATAGTGTCATGTCACTTTGAGTCTGAGGGTCAGAGGGTTAAGTTCAATGGCAAACAAGAGTTCAAAGCGAAGGTCAGACGATACCAGCTGTATCAGCTAACACGCTCTCACAGTTTAGTGTGACATGGGCTCTATAGATAGACACGTTCCCGTAATAGCCCTGATGACGTCGGGAACAGGAAGATTCGAGCGCATGACAGCCTCTACCAGGCTTCAGAAGCTTCACCGAAGATTCGATCGCGACTTGAGCGCATGATAGCCTCTACCAGGCTTCAGAAGCTTCACTGAAGATTTGATCGCGACTTGAGCGCATGATAGCCTCTACCAGGCTTCAGAAGCTTCACCGAAGATTTGATCACGACTTGAGCTCATGATAGCCTCTACCAGGCTTCAGAAGCTTCACTGAAGATTCGATCGCGACTTGAGCGCATGATAGCCTCTACCAGGCTTCAGAAGCTTCGCTGAAGATTCGATCGCGACTTGAGCTCATGATAGCCTCTACCAGGCTTCAGAAGCCTCACTGAAGATTCGATCGCGACTTGAGCGCATGATAGCCTGTACCAGGCTTCAGAAGCGGTTGGAAAGAGTAGAAATTGGCCAACATGTTGGACAGATCTAGATAACATACCAGGGGAGGTGGTCCGCTAAAAGGCAACTTGACTGGACCAACTCCCCTGGCATGTCGATATCTGTCTATTTGGCCAATGTCTACTCTTTTCATTGCTTCTGAAGCCTGATAGAGGCTTAGCTATTGCTCAAGTCGTGCAGGCAAATTGGCCGGCTAACTCCCCATGGCCAGTTATATCCCCTTTTAGGCCGATTTCTACTACTAGTATTTATTCATCCTGCAAAGGAGTCTGGTAGAGACTACTATTCAGTATTCACTAATCGTTTTCTCAAAAAAAAAAAGAAGAAGAAGAAGTAGTAGTACATGTAGTAGTAAAACCCTTCTGTAATGTATGTAGAATGAGTTATCCTCCTTCGAATTTTTTTTCAACAAATGCTCCTGCAGTTCCAGAACAAGCCGCTAGGGGACCCAAACTCATGTCACTTCTTCCCTATCCCAAGAGCTATCTGCCATTCAAAATTCGTGACCCTAGCATGTCCAGATCACGAGATATCAAAACCGGAAGTTCTGCTGCAGTACCTAGGAAAGCCGCCAGGGGGCCCAAAATCTAATCATTTCTAGGTCTCATGAAGACCTACCCACCTACCAAGTTTCATTCCAATCCATCCATTGCTTCTCGAGTTATCTTGCTAAACCACACACATACACACACACACACACACACACACACACACGCACATACAAACGCTACTGAAAACATAACCTTGGCGAAGGTAAAAACAGTCATATTATATATAGACATAACCTGTACATTAGACCTGATGATATGTCCCTGGATTGAGGACAGATATTTTCCCACATTTGGCAGCAGAGCGACTTTTGGCACACAGTAGCATGTCCTTGACTTTTTGTGGTTTACATTTTGGCCTACGCGTAAGTTGGGAAACTCTCTCAAAATTCATCCACATGACCACCCAACGCGGAAACACTGACATAAAAGGAAAAGAGGAACAAGAATAGTATTCTGTCATCGGTTTGAAGTGATGATTTTTCCTTATGAACTAAAGGTACCCTCTAGAAAAGGATCCTAGAAGGCTTCAGAAGTGACTGGAAAATCATTGAAAATTGGCCAAATAGACAGATAACTTTGCAGGGGAGTTGGTCCGCTAAAAGAGTACAGTTTTCCGCTTTGTTACTCCTTTATCGAACTTCCCTGGCATGTTATATGCCTGTTTGGCCAAGCCTTTACTCTTTTTTACCCCCATCAGAAGCCTCGAGCTCGAGAGGCTTGACCAAAGCACATATGATTGATAGTGATTCTCTTATAGACGAAACCATTACTAACTTAATTAAATAACTAACCTGTGTTTAAGAGCTGTCATCTCTTAACTTTCATGTAATTTTTTTAATTATAATGGTAATATTCTATGCTGTTTGTGATTTAAACAAGAAACATAACGCATCATTTAGGCTAATTAAAGAATTCAGGAAGCACCCCTGTTTCTTTACTTGAGTGGGACCGCCCGTCATATGATCCATTCATCGGCGTTGTCCCGTTCAAACATGGACGGCGGAACATGACTTCTCGCCCGACAAGCCTTCTCCCTCCCTCCGGTGCCATGTTCAACGGGCTTTTCCTCGGAAAATGAAATCCATTGAGGCCAAAATAGTTGTCCTGGGCGCTCAAGGTAGGGTTTTAACTCGCGCTAGCTTCGCGGTAGATGTTTTAAAGTTTGGGGGAGGGGGGCTGTTGGTCGAAAAGCGGAAGTGTAAAGTGTCGTCTGTTTTTTTCTGCCCGTAGTTCGCATTTTGCTACCTTGACCGACACCCCTGGTTGAAGCCGAGGGTTTGGATTACGTTAGGACAGCATAAACTGTAGTCCAGGGCGATATAAGTGTTGTTTATAGCAAGGAAAACCCTGAAAATCTAGCTGTTTTTGCTAAATTCAGACATGTTCAAAGTTCGCATTCCGTATGGGCCGTTTGAAGTTAAATGGCTGTACAGTGGTTTTAAAGTCACCTGTTAGGTAAGCGTAGTTCTGTCCTTTTCTGGGAGCAGGTTTTCCTGTGGGTTTGTGTGTATGTTTGTCCAAACAGAGTAGGTTGATAGCACATGGTTTGGTTTGGGGAAGATTGGCTGGCAGAAAGTCAAAAGGTCAGACACAGGAAATGGGGGTGACTTTTTGTCTTGAGCAATATGGAATGAAGTACAATAAAAAACTATATTTCATCCATGATTTGGTCTTACTTGAAAGAAGAATTAACTTATACATGTATATATAGTATTCTTCTGTAGTTTTTTCACAGTTAACAAAAGAAATTTGTCAAAAAGGAAGTTGCCTACATGTATGTGTACTATAGTGTTAACTAATAACCAATATTCAATAAGATAAATATTTTTGTGCTGCAAGAGTTAATTATGTTACAAAATCATAACAGTGACCACTGTTTTTGTACACATCAAAAATTGGTCATTTTGAAAAATAGTGATATTGGCAAATCAGCTAGTATAGTATTACATAAGAATTGACCTGGATTCTATAATTAGCACTAACTTTTCGGTGTTTTTCCTATGCTAACAAGTTGTTTATCTATGCAAATTTTGTTGTTAAGAAGTCAAATCTTGCATGTCAGGTCAACAAACTTAGAACCACAGATTACAAAGATAAATGCCTATTTTGGGAATAGTTGCACCTTACCTAAAATTAACATAGGTAAATAGAAAAAATTCTGAGTTTGATATATAAGATTGAACCAAAAATTTTACTTTGAATGTTTGTAAAAACAAGTTCTAGGAATACAGCAAAGGTTTTATTATTTTTTTTTGACACATAAACCTACTACTAGTAATATTCAGAAATTAGGAGCACAGCCCCAATTTTGGGTGTACAAAAGTGCTGAGATACACTCAGTATTTCCTCCGAACAACTTAAGATCTATTATACAACACAGCTTGAAAAACACCTTTAGGCGACACCAATTTAATTTCTTGGTTAACAGATATTTTTAGACAAATAATGGAGCGGGCAGGGGAAAAAATAAAATATAAAAACAGGCCTAGGCATCCTATTGTGGCCCAAAATGGTACGATAGGAGCTATGAAGTCAACACACCAGGCTGGTTCAAAATTTAAACAATGAATTTTGAACTTTTAATGATACCACAGCATTGAAAGATGGAATAACTGTAACAACTAGGAAAAAACTTTCAACTGTTCAGGGCAAAATATGAGCATTTTGCAGTTGACTCTGAATTTTTATTTTTATTTGCAAATCAGAAAAAAATGAAGCGGGCGAATCCGTTAACCAAGAATTTAAATTGGTGTGGCTTTACTTGTTACTTAAACCAAGATTCTGACCCACCTGGTACTCATACTGGGTGCATTTTCAATTTGTGTTCTAAACAACAAACAAGGTACTTCAGTACAAGGGAGGCTGTTGTTCTTTTAAACCTTGTGTATTTTGGCTACTATCCCTAAATCTAACAAAGAACACATTCACTTAGGTTATGCTCTATTATCGTACTACATTGAGAAAACTTTTGATTGAAATAACTTTCTAAAACTTGAAATGGAGCAGTAACTTGACTTGAGGCCACACCAATTTAATTTCTTGGTTAACGGATTCACCCGCTTCATTATTTTCTGATTTGCAAATAAAAATGAAAATTCAGAATCAACTGCAGAATGCTCATATTTTGCCCTGAACAGTGGAAAACAGTCCTTTTCATCCTAGTTGTTACGGTTATTCCATCTTTCAATACAATGGTATCATTAAAAGTTCAAAATTCATTGTTTAAATTTTGAACCTGCCTGGTGTGTTGACTTCATGGCTCCTATCGTACCATTTTGGGCCATAATACTAGTAGGATGCCTAGGCCTGTTTTTATTTTTTATTTTTTTCGCCCGCCCGCTCCATTATTTTTCTAGAAAAATCTGTTAACCAAGAAATTAAGTTGGTGTGGCCTGAGCAGTAACTGTGATTCTTTTTCCTGAATGTTTCTTGAGATAATTTTGTACTACAACTTATTTGTTGATTTTGAAATATCAAATCTTAGGGCATTGATAAAAATCAGTATCATGAAAACATTTTATGCTGTTGCTGTTGTATATAACGTAGAAATTATAAATCAGAAATCTGTCTTGAAGTTGGAAGAGAGTAAAAAGAAGCAGTGTACCAATTGGTTAAATTTAAGCTTTGTGGATAATATTAGCTTTTAAGCTTGAAAGCAAAAAAAGAACTGTTTGTCCTTTACTATGTATGTACTGTGTGCACTTACTAGTAAGCTATAGGGGCTTTTTAAGGTTGAGTAGAAATTGACAAATACCACTTTTCATTTTGTCTTTATGGAACGTTTTTAACACTTGGTATTATTTAAAACCTTTCGGTTTTATCTTTTTGGTTTTCTCAAATATCTTTTCACTGTGAATTTTTGACACTATGAATATACACGTCCAATATCCATCTGTCTGGCCTCAGCTCGGGTCCGAGCATCTGGGTTCGTGTCGTCTCATCCTCAGCTGTTCTGGGAGTGTCGATGTCTTAGGTGGCTGGTCAGGCCTAGTGAAGTATAAAAACGTCGGGGGCACTTTGTGCAAGTCAGAGTAGGTGGCGGTCGCGGGAGGAGGAGCCGCTCTTGTCGTTTCCGTCTCTTTGCCTCTGCTGTCGTCCGTCGTTGGGTTTCCATGTGGGTTGTTCCCTGTGCGACGGTGCTCCGCCACGCAGTTCGGTCCTCGGCGAGTAGTGATGCATACCGGTTCACTGGACTTGGATCCGGACTTGTAAGAATGTTTAGGTTCAAGTCCAAAAAAACCTAAAAGTCAAGAACCGAGTCCGGACTTATTACCATAAAAGACCATTTCACATACCCCTTTTCTTTCCAAACCACCTAAAACCTTCCGTAGATTGCAAAATCTTTGCTGCAAAATGAAGAAAACATTGCCATCGGGCATCATCAAGTACCGGCCTCCATGTTATGTGGCCAAAGTTTCACCCAGACAACATTGCAAGGTTGCCAACATGCAATTTTGTATATGCCATGGGTTTAGGTCCGGACTTACAAGTCCGGAACTGAACCTAAACCTCTAGACTTGAATCCGGACCTGAACCTAGAATTGGGTTTAGGTATGCATCACTATCGGCGAGGGTCTCCCAGTTGTCATGATCAATGCCGCAGCAAAGGAGCGTGGCCTTTAGCTGATCATGGAACCGACGTTTGGGGGCGCCCCTCGGTCTTGTGCCGGATTCAAGTTGAGAGAACAGGATCTGGCGGGGTAGTCGAGTGGTCGGCATTCTTCTGACATGCCCTGCCCAGCGGAGGCGATGTCGGGCTACAGTCGTCTCGATGCTGGGGAGGTTGGTTTGCAGAAGAACAGACTCATTTGAGACACGTTCTTGCCATTTTATCTTCAGGATTGCACGGAGCTTCTGCTGTTGAAAGCGCTCCAGCCTTTTTATGTCACTCCTGTACAGAACCCACAGTTCAGAGCCATATAGGAGGGTGGAGAGAACGATGGCTTGAAACACCATGATCTTGGTCTGGAGGCTGAGGTCGTGATTCAGGAATACACGTTTGGCTATCCTTCCGAAAGCAGCGTGTGCAGCACAGATTCTGTTGTCTATGTCTTTCTGCATAGTGCAGTCACTAGACAGGTAACTCCCTAGGTACTGGAAGGCTTCCACGATCTCGTTTTAACCGCAAACTTAAAACAAGTTGATAAAACTACTTTTCTCCCCTACTAAGATAACCTTGAATTGAAGTGATCAGTCTTTGTCAATTTTTGTTGTTATTACTCCGTGAAGGAGGTCAGGACCTCCGGACGGAGTGTTGTAATCGGCTGATTTTTCATGTTCGCAGTCAAAACACTGGGTTCTCTTTGTGTAATCGGCACGCAATTTTATACGCCGTCTGCGGGCATGCCCGTGTTGATGCACGAATGTGTCTTTTTGCCGTTGCTGCTTTCGCGGTCAATGTAATATCGCAGACGCACCCCTACAATTACGAGGCGAATTGGAATGGTCCAGAAAAACGCGTTGTTTGGAATAGCAGTGGGGTTCAAAAAAGTTCATGCAGATACGGGGTGGTTTTTATAAGTGGTTCCAGATGTTTTTGCCCATGGTTAAGAGATGCCAAGTTTTTTGGAAGATGTTCGCAGCCAAAACGCATTCTTCCGTACGTCGCATTTCTGTGTAATTTCGCATGTGGTGTTGCATTATGTCCGGGATGATGCACGTCTTTTTATTTTTACCGTAGCTGTTTTGATATTGGAGTAAATGCTTATTTTCGAAACATCCCCATTTCTTTGAAATGGTTTCGTCCGTTTATGCAACTGTTACTGCGCTAATGACGACCAGTC